CTAACATGAAAGAAGTATACAGCACAGTGAATAAACAAAAAGCCTAAAATATGAAAATGCCATAGCTATTTTCTCAACGAAAGAGAAAAAACATTGCCCGATTTGAAAATGGTCTGTCAGTCACTGATTCCTAAGAATATATTATAACTGGTCTTCATAAATAAAAAATGTATTAGGCACAACAATTTATATTATTAATAAAAAATAAATTACTATTTTAAAGTACTATCAACGCTAAAATTTGACACATCTGAATTAAAAAAATTTATACATGCATCTATTAACATTTTTATTTTTTATTTTTTAAATTTTTGGGTCACACCCGGCAATGCACAGGGGTTACTCCTGGCTCTGCACTCAGGAATTATTAAAATTTTTAAATCTAAGAAAACAATTATTTTCCTCCTTAATAATTCAAATTCAATATACCCCGGTGGAAGTATAAAAATCCAATGAAGAAAAAAGTAGGAGGGGCGTTTCGCCAGTATGGTGCTCGCCTTGCTCCACCCCCAGCATCCCATATGGTCCCCCAAGCACAGCCAGGAGTGAAACCTACACACAGAGCCAGGAGTAAACCCTGAGATATCCCGGGTGTGGCCCAAGACCGAAAAATGAAAAAGGAAATAGAACTGAGGGTATGAAAATATAAAGAAGCCTCGTCAACAACTATTAAAGGATAATGAGACGGAAGGACATAAGGGTCAAGATGTGACACCTGAAGTCAGATCGATGGCTCTATCTGTGCACATGACCTGACATTGCAAATGCTCCCCACTCCACAAGGCATGATCCAAGAGCACAGAGCCAAAAATAAGCTCTAAGCACTGCCAGATGTGGGTCTCTACCCCCACCCAAAGGTTGTCCCTTTTCCTTACCAAAACAGAACAGACCAACCAAGCTATGTTCCCCTGGACAATCCCCACACAAGCTCTCAAAAGCAGTCAATCAGATGAACATTGAAGGTTAATTAATCACTAGTGTTATCAAAAATTCATGAATGGGAGCTCTTAGGAGAAACGAAAAAATAATATATTCAGCAAACAAAAGATTCAACCCAGAAGATTCCAGTTAATGGCTTAAAAAGGCTACAATATACTTTAAGCTAAGATAAATTTAATGGATGCAGAAACAGGGCTGCAGAGAACAAACTCCACAGGTTGAAATCCTGAATATCTGGAAAGGTTCACATAGAGGTCAACAAATAATTTCCAGCACTTGCCTGCTGACGATTATACACATGCAAAGACACTATTTTCAATCATGGTAGTGGTATTTCCTAGCTGTGCAGCATAGACCTTATTTCTCTACACACCTTGCTCTATCTCATGTATTCATCTCTGGACACAGCTGATGGCATTACTCCACACTCACCCTGAGGAATGTTAAAAATTAATAAGACACCATGAGAGGGTATAGGGATTTTTCTACAGCCATTTAAAATGGCAAAATAGGCTTCCTATATAATCCAACTCATTAGCATAGTCCAAAAAAGTCTTTGGTACTCCACACATGAAGATGACATATAGCTGCCCAATGTTCCAAGAGAAAACAAGCAATCAACCCATCACTTGACAAACAGTTCACCCAATCATTAAAATGGAGCTTGAAGCTTTGATTGTCATTTCTGGCCAAGTCAAATTCACTTCCCAATTAATGCACTCATGGCTTCCATCTGGATGCTTCCCCAACCCCATCCACCCCCAAGCTCCTGATTCAATCCTAAACTGGCTGTGCTCTGTGGAAAATCCTGAAGAGAAACAGAACCCTAAGCAGTCCCAGGCAAGCAAGTGCATGCTTTGGCGCAGTCACTACTTCCTGGAAGAATCTGAATCAGAATCAACCGTATTTCTACACATATTTGAGAGGGGTGGGGATTGTGTGTGTGTTTCTGGGACATATCTGACTGTGCTCAGAGCTTAATCCCTGATCTCTCATACCTGGGATATAAAGAAACTTTGGATGGGAACAACACTAGCAATGAAGACTAGGAGAGCTAATCTTCAGCAGGAAGCTTGCCACTGAGGTGGAGGAGTGGGGGATAAATAAGGGAAGGGAATTCTAGGACATAGGGGAGGGGAGAATGCTTGCCACAAAGACAGGCGGGGAGGAAACTGCAGAGACTGATGTGGACACAGGCAATGGGTTTAGTGTGGAAACACAGCATGCCTGAAACTTAATAATGGGCCAACTCTGTAAAATTCTGTAAACTCACAGGGACTCATTTCAACTTTTTCTACTAAGAAAGAAAGCTATGAACAGATAAGACCAGCAGCAGGAGTGTGATACCCTAGCTACGCTATAACCAACAGTGTGTTCACAACTAAACTGTGCGAACTGGTCCTGGCGCATTGTTGCTGCTTTGCAGCAACCACAAAAGGAAGGAGAGGTCTAACAATAAAGAAAATTAAAATTTAATTTTTTAAAGTCTTTTTTTAATCAGGGCTGAATGTGGAGACAGAGGGTGGCTCAGGGATACAGCTCTGCTTTGCTCCTCGGCACAGCAAGACCTGCAGGGACAAGGAAGAGGGCTCGAACAGCAAATGATTCCTAGCGGGCGCCATGGAGCTTTCAGTGATGGCAGGAGAGTGTTCTCCAGGAGTGACACTGGGATCCCTGAACCACTGCATAGCGGCCAGGGAATTAGCACGGCAGGCAGGGGTCTCTCCTGGCAAGCGGCCAACCCACACTCAAGCCCCACCACCAAGATATGGTGCCCCGAGCACCATGAGTGACTATTGAGAATGGTGCCAAGAATGCGTGTTGAGCACATTAGGTTATGCTGCAAATGCCCCATCTGTCCCTGCCAGTGGGGTGGGTGTTGGGTGGGGCTGGGGAGGGTATCTCTTACCAAAGTGTCTGTATTTTGAAAGAAATAGAGGGAAAAATAAAGCATCCTACTTGGGGAAGAAAAACACCTGCTCACCATACATCTTTACAAAGGGCTAATACTGGAGTTAATAAAGAACCCACAGGGGTGATAAGCACAGCGGGTAGGGAGTTTCCCTTGCAAGCAGCTGACCCGGGTTCAATTTCCAGCATCACATATGGTTCCCCGAGCACCAACAGGAGTAATTCCTGAGTGCATGAGCCAGAAGCAACCCCTGAGCCGCCAGGATTTGGGTGTGACCCAAAAATAAATGAATAAATAAATAAAAGTAAATAAAGAACCCACAACCTCAACAACAACAAAAACTAACCACATCAAGATATGGGGAAGAACTGTGAACCTATTCCTGAACCGCTGTGGTCAGCTGTCAACTCGTACTTTACACCACCCATACTCCAAGAGTACCACACCACATTTGATGGGGTTTAAAGTAAGAGGCAACCAATCTTGGAGGGAAATATTTTTTGTTACAGATACATGTGTGTGTATATATATAAATATATATATAAGCAGAAAAGGCTCAATCTTTCTTTTTTTTTTTTGCTTTTTGGGTCACACCCGGCAATGCTCAGGGGTCACTTCTGGCCCTGCACTCAGGAACCACTCCTGGCGGTGCTCAGGGAACCCAATCAGTATGCTGGGAATCGAACACGGTTCGGCCGTGTGCAAGGCAAACACTCACCCGCTGTGCTATCACTCCAGCCCCAACAAGGCTCAATCTTTAACCTTTTATAGAAGGGTTTAATGTCCCCTGGGTGAAGTACAATATTCATACTCTTTCCTCTAAGGAAATTTTTTGGTAGCATTTTCAGTGGTTTTTCATAACAATACAAAATAAATTATTTGAGTTCTGCTTTGGCGCAAGCGTTGGGGTTCAGGATGAAAACATCTGAAATAGGGTGGTGGTGTAATGGTTAATAAACATAAAAATGGCCTGTCAGTTCACTAGAGAAAATGATAATATAGTGCAAAAGATTAATACTTTTTTTGTCCTCAACAAGTGTCCATGTTCTTTATTTGATGCTGAATAGATTCTAATTTACATTTTCCTTAACTGTATTGAAAGTCTCAGCAATTGTTGAAAAGCTAAAAACTCCAAACAATGGTAATTTTCTATTAGAGGAAACTGAAACCCCAAATAGGTGAGACTTGCCCAGAAAAACCAGAATCTTAAACTGTTACTTCCCCTGAGATTCTCTGTGATTAACGAACACAAAGGATGCAGTCGGGATAATGTTGTTCTCAATTTCCTTAAGCAACCTGCTTGCTCCTTGGGTATTAGCTATGCACACTTGGTCTTACACAGCATCAATTCAAAAATAGTGCACTGGAATAATCTTCTGTGCAATCATACCTAGGAACAACGTACTACTGGAAAACAATAGCAGAACTCACAAAGCATGTTTTATTGAGTGACAGGAAAAAGTCTGTCCCTGTAGATAAATAGGGAAGCTTTCTTCCAACAATAAATAACATGAAAATCCACGCTATACAAAGAAAAGAGAGTCCTGAAAAATGAAGCTGCCAGAAAAAATGTAGTCAAATGCAGTGCACACAGTTATATGAAGCTTGTAACTACCTGCTCTCTTTGTTCCATTGGCTTATTATGTCTATTGCATATTCCTCTTCCTTATTTCAGATTATTTTGCCTCAAAATATATGTAATATATATGACTTCTGTCTATAACAAATTTTCCTTCTATGTCACTAATATTTCGTGGCTTCATTCAACACTGAATTTGGTATTTGAAATAATATCTGAGTCTAAATGAGAGCTGGAGTGATAGTTGAGCAGAGCAGGTATGATGCTTGCCTTGCAGGTGGCCAACCTGGGTTTGATGCCGGGTATCCCATGAGGTCCCCTGAGTGCCATCAGGAGTCCTGCAGCCAACCCAGGTTTAATGCCAGGCATCCCATATAGTCCTAACAAGCACCATCATACTCCAAGAATTGAGGACCATCAGAGTGGCCCAAAGATCAAACACACCTCCCGTCCGAAAGTAAAACAGAGTCTAAGTGAGTAAAGCAGATCGTGTCATTAACTTCCCTTATCCATCTGTCCAACTTGCACAACAAACTGCAGGGTGGCCCAACGGCTGGGTTTGCACATCACCTTTGCAGTAGTCCGCGGGATCCTCCTGCTCTTCATCATCAGATCCCAGGATCTCCTCCTCTGGCTCTGGGGGTGTAGGGTCTGGCAGAGGCGGTGGTGGCGGCGGCGGTGGTGGCGGTGGCACTAAGGGAGCTTTCTGTTGAGGCTCCGGCCTGAAAGAGCAGAAGGAAAAGATCCTACTTACAAAGGGGCAAAAAATAAAATTGATAGGCAAAAAATAAAATTTGTCACATGCTAAGAATATTACTCCATCCAGTAGAGTCGACTCAGGTAACAGTCCCACATTCAGGATCGAGGAAAACATGGTTTACTCGGGTGTATTTGTTTCTGGAGGTAAATATTCACATAGAGCTTTAATATTTCTTACATCTTAACAGTATTATGAAACGAAAGTGAAATAAAGCAGGAACTGTGGGCCCAGAGGATTACCTCAAAGGGCTAGTCAGAGTGCTTTGTAAGTCAACAGTTTCTGATAGATCCCCAGCACAATGGCACTCCAAGCACAAGGGACTGATCTCAAGTCAGAAGCAGCCTCCATAAACATGCAGATGTGACACACATAGCCCAAACCACTAGTATCCCCTTTAAGACAGACAGATTAGTAAGAACAGAGAACATAGATATGATAAACACAGATGAGAAAAATCAGGTACTTATAATGGGGGGTATTTTCTAAGATTTTAAAATGATATTTATTTTTGATATTTAATAGAAATGTGGTTATGTTTCCTAGATAACTTTATAAATGGTAACCAATAGAAATCTATATACAGTATAGCTGATATATCACCGTTTTCATCAAGGAATTCAACTGTATGTCCACTTAACCTTGTTTACCAAGAAATGTTTAAAAAGATAAAAAGCCCATTCTCTTCCACCAATGGGCACTGCTGGAGGGATGGGTAAACGATCATAGTATGACTAAGTTCATAAGTTCGTAACTGTACCTCATGGTGATTCACTAATAAAAAATAAATTAAAAAGTTAAAAATCTCATCAGAAAATAAAAATATACTAATACAGAGTTTTATAATGGCCTTTCTAACTATCGTAAGAATAAAAACTGGCATGTAAAAAAAAAAAACTGTACTGCACATTCATTATGAAAGTAAACGTAAAAGTAGAGATAAAAAACACGAGATTATACCAAAATCTGTAACTTTTTTGCTGGCATAAAAAAAGAGAAATACAATCACCAAAAACTCAATTGAAGAAAACATCAACAGAGCAATTTAGGAAATGGACCACAAAAGTTGAAGACACAGAGGAATAAACAAGAATAAAAATAAATTACATATGGGACCGAATCAAATTACAAAGCTTCAGCACTGCAAAACTCAAGTGATAATAAAAAGAAATCCTAATGAATGCAAGAAGTTTTTTTGCACACATCATATAAAGGGCTCATACCAAACTTTGCACACATCATATAAAGGGCTCATAACAAACTTAGTCTATAAGGCAATAAAACTTAAATCCAATGCCCCCATTGGATCACACACACCACCTGGCCCCCTGGCGCCATGTAATCCCATCAACAGCCAAAACCCAGAGACTATAAAAGCCAGCTTCCGGAAGAGAGCAAACAGCGCAGAGTCTCCTGCCCCGGCGCCTGGCTGTCCTTGCCTGGGCCCCTTCGAGGGAACGGGTTGAGTTTCCCTCCCCGCCCCGATCAGGGCTCCAGCAGCCGAACACCTTCAGAACCAGCCACTCTCCACACACATGAAAGTACCATCAGAGAAACAAAGGCATGCTGGTCCCAGGGCTAAATCTCCAAGCCTGCTCGGATCAGGGCTGAGCATCCTTCACCCAGATCCTCCATATTCCAGTAGGCAGGGGTCACACCCACCAACTGGCCCCCTGGTGCTGTGTAATCCCATCAACGACCAAGACCCAGAGACCCAGCTCCCGGAAGCGTGTGGCTGTAAATGCGACATCTTATTATCTCATTCTTACTTTGGACAAACTGGCAGGCTACCGAATGTAACCTGCTCACAGGGCAGAGTCTGGCAAACTCCCCGTGGTGTACCCAATATGCCAAATACCATTAACATTGATGGGTCTCATTCTCCTAACCCTGAAAGAGCCTTGAATATGGCACTTTTTAAAAAATCTCAGGGCTAGGATGAAGGAGACGTTACTGGGGCCTGCTCGAGGCAATCGACGAACAGGATGGTCATGATCGTGATCGTGAATGTCCCCACTCAAAACTGTTGAGAGAAAACGAACAGAAACATTCCCAAAGAAGACATACTGATGGCCAACAGGAATATGGAAAACTGGTAAGTCACTCATGATTTGGGAAATGGAAAAAAAAAAGCATCTCAGTCCAGTTAGATTTAGCAGGATCATGGTGACAAGGGAACCTGCATTCACTGTTAGCAGGAATGTCATCTGCTTCAGCCTCTATGGGAAGCAATAAGGAGATCTCTCCACAACATAGAGGTTAAGAACTCCTATATATGATTAGAGCATATGGAATTAGAACCCTATGACTCACTTATACCTGCTTTCTGTATCAATCCCCAAAACACAAAAACAGTAAATCTAAAGGATATATAAACACCTGGGCTGGAGTGATAGCACAGCAGGTAGGGCAGTTTGCCTTGCACATGGCCCACCCAAGTTTGATTCTTCTGCCCCTCTCAGACAGCCTGCAAGCTACTGAGAGGAGCTCAAAAGCTACTACCCGCCCACACGGCAGACCCTGGCAAGCTCCCTGTGGCGTATTCGATATACAAAAACAGTAAAAAGTCTCACAATGGAGACATTACTGGTGCCCGCTCAAGCAAATCGATGAACAATGGGGAGACAGTGGCAGAGACAGTTTGTTGCAACACTTAACACAATAGCCAAGATACTGAAGCAACCTCAATGCCCAATGCCAGATGAATGGATAGTATGTATACATGATGGAACTATGTGACTCTAAGAAAGAACCAAATCATATACTGTGCAGCAATATGGGATAGAACTAGTATGCCATAGCTCTGCGAAGTCCATCAAAATGAACAGGGACAGACAAAATTAACTCTCTTATCTGTGGGAATTAAACATAGCCAGGTTACGACAAAGTTCTTTCAACACAACGAAAACTGATCCACAAAACTTATTCTGGGGTAGGGTGGTTTGTAAGGATAAAGTATTGTGAACCTTGTGGGAGGGAGGCTGACACTGTTGATGGAGTTTGGTACACGGGAAACCATCATTAATAACCATCATGAATCACGGCGCCTCAAGTGATGTTTTAAAAAGAAGAAAGCCCAGGACCAGAGAGGGAGAGAGAGCACCATGGACAAGTGTTTACACTAAGTATGCCAGGTACAATGCCTGGCACAGCATTCTCCCGTACACAAATGCCAGAAGTGACGGAAGCAGAGAGCTGGAAGTAGACCCTGAACACTGCAGGGTGTTGGGGAAAAGATAAGAAAGGCTAGGTGGACGGTTCGGGGGACACTTGCCTTGCATGCATCTGTTTGACCTCCAGCACCCTACAGGGTACCCCCACACCTACCCTGCCAGCAACAATTCCTGAAAACAGAGTGAGCCCTGAGTACTGCACTGCCTAGTGGGAGGAAGACGCTAAGTGACATTTAGCACACACTTTCCAAAGGATAGGAAAATTTATGATTAATGATAGGCCAAACAAGTAAGAAAGGGTAAGGGAGGTAGCTCAAGAGATTGGAGTTCATCCTATACACATGGGAGCCTATTTTCTTTGCAGCTCTGTTTTCTATCTTGAGCATGACATGTACCCTCTGGGCAATGCCAAGACTCTGTGCCCACTTCCCTAGCACCAGTGGGCAGCGGTACCTGACACCTCCTAAAACCTACAAAACAAAAAAGGTTATCAATGTCAACTGTTCAAATATACAAACTGGCTCAAGGGCACATTAAAGAATTCATGGTGCTGGGCCGGAGCGATAGCACAGCGGGTAGGGCATTTTGCCTTGCACGTGGCCGACCCAGATTTGATTCCCAGCATCCCATAGGGTTCCCTGAGCACCACCAGCAATAATTCCTGAGTGAAGAGCCAGGAGTAACCCCTGTGCATCGCCGGGTATAATCCCCCCCCCCCCACAAAAAGAAAAACACCATGGTGCCAAGACAGAGACATAGAAAAACTACACTTATTTGTAGAATATAAAGTAACAAATAGGAGACTAACACCCCAGGATAGTAGAGATGAGTACCAGGAGGTCTGCTCCATGTCTTGGAAGTTGGCCTCACATGTTGGGGGAAAAGGCAGCTCAGAGAGAGAAGGGACCACTAAGTAAAAGGTGTTTGGAGGGCCCATTTGGGATGGGAGATGCATGCCGAAAGTAGACTATAGACCGAACGTGAGAGTCATTCAATATTTGCACTGCAGCCCACAATACCCACAGGTGGGGGGTGGGGGGTAGGATACAGGAAACACTGGTGGTGGAGAATGGGCACTGGTGAAGGGATGGGTACTCCATCACTGTATGACAGAAACATAAGCACGAAAGTCTTTAACTGTACCTCACTGTGATTCTTTTTTCTTTTTTTCTTTCCTTTTTTTTTTTTTTTGGGCTTTTTGGATCACACCTGGTGATGCACAAGGATCACTCCTGGCCATGTACTCAGGAATTAGCCCTGGTGGTGCTCAGGGAACCATATGAAATGCTGGGAATCGAACCTGGTTCAACTGCGTGCAAGGCAAATGCCCTACCTGCTGTGCTATTGCTCCATCGCCCCCCCCCCCCCCCAGTGATTCTTAAAAAATAAAAAACTTTAAAAATTCATGCTGCCAAAACAATAGTACAGGGCAATTGCCTTATAAGCAGCTGACCACCCTATGTGGTCGCCCCACGCCTACCAGGAGTGATCCCTGAGCATAAAGACAAAAGCCCAGGTGTTTTAGACCACCGTGCATGGTCCCAAATCATAAAATAACAAAAGTAAATTTAAAACTGTTAATAACAAAGCTTTGTAAAAATCAAGCTTTCACTTAGTTAAATATGCATGTTATGTCTAACCATGCCCCAATGGGACAACATGAAACGAAACTGTCCATCTGAATGCCAGAGGCTCATCTCTATGTGAAAGTGGACACCACCACACCCATCACTTGGGACCACCCAGCAAGTGCCAGGGCAGTAGGGGGAGCAAGGCCTGGACAAAGGGAAGG